ATGTTCCAAGTTTTTTTTACCTTCTGGAGCTTCTAGGAAGCTTGATCTTCTTCCCCAACTCCTTGGTGCAACACCTTCTTCTTAAAACACTCAAGAAACACTCAAGGAAATGGCTAGGGTTTGGGGAAAACGACTCTAAGCAGTGGAGGTTGGGGTAAGGGAAGGTCTTGTGCTCATAATGTTGCTTATATAGTCCCCAAACCCTAAATATTAGGGTTTCCTTCTGCCATGAGTACGCCCAGCGTACACAAGTGTACGCCCAGCATACTAGGGCGCGCCTAGTACGCTCAGCGTACCCTTATGTACGCGCTGCGTACTCCTCCTGATCCCAATAATTGCAAGTTATCCCTTAGACTTTCATGGCTTCATCCTTCTATCCCCAGGGACCATAAATGACAAATATTTGGATGTTATATCCCCTCATGGTTGCCTTACGGACACATATAGCTGAGGAATCCCTTTAGCAGTAGGGCCCATCCCGATGAAATTCCTTAGGATAGGTCCCTTATGAGAGATGTTTTAGGGACGTACACTACAAGAAAAAGACCCTTTTGCGATGCGCAAACCACGACGCTCATTGATTTATGTTACACAAAAGAGAGTGACATTAAAAAAGTGTAATCTCTTCAAAAAATTTAAGGATTTAGGTCACGCATTATTGCGCGCCCTTAATTTAGTGTCTCGTGTAAAAAAATTAAAAACACGGAGGGCACTTTATCTAAAATGTGCGTCCTCTCTGAATGTCGCCTTATGATTTTTACTCAAAACGCGCGTTTCTAAAATTTTTAAATACCCGCTTCAAGATCTCCCTTCGCTCTCTTCTTCCCTTCTCTCTGCAAACCCTAATCGTGATACCATCTCTACTATACACCTCCACAACTCATATAATCATTCTATAATTTTTTTCTTAAAAACTCGCGTTCATTCCTGAAGATCACAAAATGGCGACCAACAACTAGGGCTTTTATTTCCCACTTACATATAATCGTGATTTTCATCAAGAGTTTCAAAAACAACTCCCTCACGTACGCTTTTATTCTTTAATCTCACATCCAACAACTAGGGCTTTTATTCCCTCACGGCAACTGCAAGGTTCGAGGCAAAACTTCAATCGATTTGGCAATGGCGCGAGAATTGAAATTACGGATCTGTAATCGGGTGCCTAGAATAACAAAGCGTCAAAACTCGATTCTCAAGAAAGAATCAAGATGGAGACGAGGCAAAGCAGTAAGCTAGTAACTCTCAAGAATCTTTTATTCTGTCTCTCTCTTAATTTCTGAATTTTGGATACATCCGATTTCTATATACCCTCGTCCATCTTTCTATCAACTTCTGAATACCTCTCTGTAGCTTGTGATTTTCTCATATTTTAGTTGCAAAACACGTATTGCAGATCCTGCTTCTTTGGACTGCAATGATTAGGCATCGCCGAGCTCTTCTGGGAGTTTATTTTTGACAACGATGGCATCAATCAGGTACTTTACGTGTTAATAGATTTCTAGGGCTTATGTATGTTTCAGTTTCTATGCAACTTCCCCAAATTAATCTAGAGAAACTTCTAGGGTTTGTAATTTTTTAGGTAATCTGCAGTGATTAGGTTAATTTACTCATAGTTTTGATTAATTTTTTTATCATCATGTCCAGATCCCTTCTCTACTGTGTTCCGTGAAATGATACTCTCCTACATTATGCAGCCACGTTGTATAATCTTAGCCATTACACTTGCAAATTCAGATTTGGCAAACTCAGATGCACTTCAAATGGTTTGGGATTGCTGATCCTGATGGTAATTATCAAATATACTATGCTTTGTTAATGTATTGTTTTGCTTCTAATTCCAAAACTCATATATACCCTTTCTTTTTAGGTCATCGTACAATTGGTGTAATTACAAAGGTCAACATTTTCTTCTTCTTCTACTTCTTCTTCTTCTTCTTCTTCTTCTTCTTCTTTACTTTCATGAACTTTATATTGTTTTCTTCTAAGGCGTTTGAACAGTTGTTTGTCTCTGTAACTACAGTTGGATATCATGGACAGAGGCACTGATGCCTGCAATTTTTTGCTTGGCAAAACAATTCCTCTTAAACTTGGTTATGTTGGTGTTGTCAATCGTTGTCAAGAGGTAACTTATTCTTAAATTTGATTTGAGAAAGGTTGTGAATAGAGTGGCAGATTGTTGTGGGGTCCCTAAATTGGCCAAGAAATTGAATAAAGTATGAACATTTAATACCTTCGCCCTTGTTTGATTAAGGGTAGTTTTGGTATTTTCATCTAACTAGTACCATCTTGGTAGTTATATCTTATTTTGTTTGTTTACTTATTTTATTATCACTAGTTTGTTTTATCTTATTTTATTATCACTAGTTTGTTTTATCTTAGTAATTTTGCTTATATAGCTTATGGTGTTCATCAAGAATATGTATTTCATCAAGAATATGGTATTTTCATCTAACTAGTACCATCTTAGTAATTTTGCTTATATAGCTTATGGTGTTCTCTATTTTGCACACCTAACTTGCTTTGGATTTTAATCATTTTATATATTTTCATTCATGAATATGTGTTTTGGTGACATGTAGGTGAATGTGCGGACTCATACTGCAACTGTGACCCCTGAACTTCAACATCGTGAATTTATGAAGGAATTGAAGCAGTTGCACAAAGCTCAGGATGATAAGGAACTATTTGGAATGGTAGTGAAGACATAACCGAAAGATGCTACTACTGTTAAATTAAATGAATTGAAAGAAAAAAGAAGGTGCCTAGTTAAAAAAATTGCTGAATCTAAAGCTAAAAAAACACGAGTGATGAAAATGTGTAAGAAACAAGTGACCCTGTTAACAGTAGATACAAGCCAGAATCTGAGAAAGAAACAGATTCTTGTCTTGTGACAAGTACTAGTGATCAAGCACATGAACGTGCATTGAAGGTGGAAAGTTGTGAAGAAGCTATGTCTGACACTGGTAGAATAGTTAGGAGGAAGAGGAAAGCTTCCATGCAAAAGGATGAGGGACAAAATGGAAATAAAGGATCTGAAAATAAGAGCAGGAAAAAAGTGATATCCTCTGACAGTAATGAAGATAGCAAAAATGAGGAAACAAAAGTTGTTGAAGAAGTTGATAACCCGGATGATATTTCAGGTAGTTGTGTGGATGGAAATGATATGGGAGATGGAGGTGCTCTGTGGGACATATTTCGGAGGGAAGATTCGCCTAAACTCGAGGAATATCTCAAAAAACACTTCAAAGAGTACATATGTAAAAAATGTGACCCTACCAAAGGGTACATATGTAAAATTACAACCTCACATAAAGGACTTCTTGGATATCTCTAACCCAAAAGCAATGTAAGTTGACAAAACTAGTTAATTAATTTATTAAACTCCATATTCCTATTTCTGAAATAATCTTTGAATTTTGTTTTGATGCAGCTTGGAGACAACATTGAGGAACTTCTCATGTCTGACAACAGGAGATAGCATCATGGTGTCATATAACAACAAGAAACGGTGTTGGTGGCATGTGCTGCTGCTACTACATTAAAGAACACAATTAATTTATTAACATAGATCTCACATATAAAACAGTAAAAATTGCTTTTTGCTGTATTGTTTATATGATTATATCCTTGTTTGTTGTTTGTAGATGTCTGATAAAATGGGCTACATAATATTTAAAGGTATGGAAGGTCCTCTACTCTTGCATGACAAGGATGTGGATTTTGAAATTCTTGAGACAGGTGCCCTATTTTTCACTTTTATTTGTTTATATTTTGGGTTGTATCATATTACTTTTCTATTTATGTATTTTGTTGTGATGCAAAACCTGCAGCCATTAAGGAGTTAATCGTGCAACAGAAAGAAAAAGCACGATTCTTGCATAATCTGAGAGGCAGTTGGGTAAAGCCACTTGATGCTTTAAAGGAACCATATCTCTGTTCCTCATTGCAGAATTCACTTCTTTATTTTCCTGGTACAGTAGTCAACACTAGAAGGAAAAGTTAAATGAGGGTAAAATTTATTAAAAAAAGCCTTTTTTTTCCCTGACTTTTGGTATTAATTGTTGTTTCTGCATCAAGTCAAAAAGAGACACCTGTATATAACTTAGCAGATTAAGTCATGTCTCCATTCAGTCAAAAAGGAAGGGAAAATTGTGGGTAATAGCAATGTACTTTACTTTTTACTCATAATTGCAATCTAGTTACAGAGTACATTCCCTATATTGGTAAAAGGAGTAAAGTTTGTTGCTATTTTATGGAATTTGCTTAAAAAGAAACAACATTTTAGCTAATGTTGTAGTAATATGATTTGCAGGTTGCATTGAGGTTGATGAAGTTAATGAACGGTTGTTTCTTTCTGACACAAATCACCACCGTATAATTGCGTTTGATGACAATGGAAAAATCTTAGATTGTGTATGTAAGGATTTCCATTTGCAATTCACATAGCATTTCAATTTTGAGCAGATAAAAGCTTATGATAATAATATAAATATATATATATTTTTCAGATTGGATCTTCACCTGGATTTAAAGATGGAGAGTTTGAATCTTTCACAATAATTCGCCCTGCTGCTTTGTTTTATCACAATGAGGATGATTCCCTCTATTTTGTTGACTCATAGCTATTCTTTTTTAAATGAATAATTACAAATATATTGATGGGGATATAGTCTTATTATGATTTTTACTTTTTATATGATGAAAGAATCATGCTATAAGGAGAGCTAATATGGAGAGCAGGACAATTGAGACATTATATCCAAAACCTAATGTCAGTGAGACAAAAAGTGGTTTAGTGAGTTGGATCATTGATAAACTTTGGAGTGCGAAAGACATTCCTTCAAATTCTGAGGAAGTTGATCCTAAATTACTTTTTTACCCCTGGCATCTTCTCAAATCATTGGAAAATTACCACATTTTACATGTCATATTTTAATTAACATGATATACTGTTAATCTGCTATATAATGTTTTCATGCAATTTTGAAACTTTATGGATCATGGATCTGTCATCTGGTATCATTAAAGAAGTGGTCAAAGGTTTGACTTCTATTGTCTACATGTTCTTTTGATGTTTCTAGGTTAATTATGATGTTATTCAATAATATTTTTGTGGTGTGAAGGATCTGCAAAGATTATAGAGATCTGTGGACAGTTGATAAAGGAGAAATCATCCCTTGTAAAAGAAATATCGCCTAGTCAGCAACTGCCACAAAATAATTTCTCGGTGGAGGGTATTTCACGTGCGGGTCTGCTCTCTTTTGTGGCAACTTTTCAGGACAATATCGTAATTTGTAACACAGGTAAAATTAAATATTTTCTTTTTGTTTTAATTGATGAACTACAATATCCTCTAAGAAACAAGAGTGTTTAGATGGTCAGGTGGTGCGGAAATACAACAAAACTTGTGAGTCAATGACAAGCTTTAAGTTTTCAAATTTTGGAATGCTAAGATTGCCATACTGGTTGGTGCCCCCTATGGAATCAGCTTATGCTGTGTGAGTAATCTTATTCTATTTCTATAACCCATGACTCGACCCGACCTGCTTGTTTAGGACACTCATGTATGTATACCTTTTTCTACCGATGTGACAGTGGTTTTGGTGTCTCGGGACTTCCCGTGGATCATATTCAACATTTCAGCTTGTTACCAGGTAATTAATTACCTGTCTCTATCTACATGCTCTTTCACTTGATCATTGAATCTATTTTTCTTTAGTAAAAAAAGGGTTATGAAACAAACAGGCAGGATAGACATACGGATAAAAGTAGAAATCCCTCAAGATACAGAGCTTGTGGAGCCGCTAGATGAAGCTTGTATATGGCGCCAAACAAGAGGCACCGCCACTGAAACTTTAGGAGCCGAGAACAAAGCTGAATCCACAGAGAAGGTTCAATTACAATTTACAAATCTGCCCTTCCGTTTTCTTAAATATTTTATTAATCCAATATTACCTGAAAAGAATGCATGTTGGTGTGGCCCAACAATGGTATGATGAGTTAGTTGAGCTTGCATCTTTAACACAAAAAAAAAGTGGATGTTGAAGAGGGTAAAAACATGTCTGATTCCAGAGTGCAAGATGGAAACGTATTCATTGATTGTGTTGTGAATACTAGCCCAGGAACAAGTGAGGTATTCTTTTGTTATTTAATGAAACAGGTGGCTAGTCATCTGGTAGCTGGCAGGGATGAAATGAGTGATTTGGAATCTTCTTAACCCGATCAGGTAATGCCAAATAGCAACACACTTCCCTTTTTATTGTTCATTATAGCATTACACTTTCATTTCTTCTTATTATAATATGAAAATTCACTCAATTATAAGTACAATGCTATAATAGATTGATTTAGAAGTGAGATGCTATAATAAGCAAATTGAAGCTATATATATATATATATATATATATATATATATATATATATATATATATATATATATAGAGAGAGAGAGAGAGAGAGAGATAGGTTCAGGTGTTTAAAGTAAGTATTGTGTTATTGTATGCATAAATGTGGGCCAATCAAAATTAAATAAAAAATTAAATAACTAAATAAATAAATAAGGGTAATTTAGTAATTTGTTTAGTAACTTCCAAAATTAATCCCTATCATCATGGTATTGACCTAATCTCTCCAATTTAAATCTCGTTCCCCTCTTTATCTAAAAGCCAAATCTTGGCCGATCTGCAAAATTAGAATGGACTACAAAATCGATCTTGAGTTCTACAAAAATCGATTGCCATCGCCATCTCCAACTCCAGCAGGTCACCGACTCCACCGGTGCCCCCTACCCCCCACCATCATCGCTTTATCGAAGAGCCCCACGCCTCCACCCCTATGTGGCTTCAGCGACTCCCGTTCTACGTTTTTTGCTTCTGGTTTGTGTATCGTCCTTTTGACCGATCGGGCACAGGGGAAAGATTGGGATGAAAGATGTGGGAGATCGATGACATAAATTGAGGGGCACCGGCGTTTTCTTTCTTTTCTTTCTGGCCCGATCAGCAGCCACACGAATGGGGAAGGCAAAGAAGATCGCTGATCTCCAAGGGGGTGTTTTAGGTGGTTTAATCGACTGAATCAGATGGAGAGGAGGGTGAAGCGAGGGCAGCAAGGGTTGATTAGCAACTCTCCGCTTACTCTCTTCTGATTCTAACAGTGAAGGGTGAGACCAGAAAAGGGTCCGACGACAGGTGGGGCTTCGGTGGCATTGGCTCGACGGAAGAATACGCCGTTGAAGCTCTCGACAAACGGCTTTGTCTATTCCGCCTGAAGGTTCAGGTTTCTTTATATTCTTCTACTTCTTCAGACATGGTTTGTCTCCCTTTGTTTATAAGTACCTTTTTTTTCCTATTTGATTTTGTTGATTCAAGTTAGTTCAGTCGTAATTATATGATGTTAGTGTTTCGAGATGTCGTTCCCGTTTGTCTGTATTACATTTATGTCTAATGCACTGCTTTTTGTTGGGGATTCAATTGAATTTTGGGAATTAGGGTTTTCAGAAATTTGGATTGACAGAATTTCTTCTGGAATTAGATAATGTGGATTTGTTAAAGCAATTAGATAAGTACATACTGTCTTTCATTTAGTCCTTCTGCAATCGTTATTGAGGATTAGATATGAGGACTATAGTTAGATTAAAATTATGTATAGATCTATCTCAGGTATGTTATTAGATACGTACCTCGAACAAGTACATCTTATGAATGAATTAGAACAAACAATCAAGTAAAAATAAAACCTTGTTGCTTTTGAATGGAATAAAGTGCAGGGAAGGACAGAGGAATAAAGTGAGAGAGAGTTTCTTTCTCCAGAAAAGAGAAGGAAGAACAGGGAAGGCTTTGGTTGCTTCATTTGGCAGAAAAGAGAAGGAAGAACAATGGTGATGATCTCTTTTTTGATTGGGTATGTTTCTTTTGATTGAGTTTTACTAGTTAAATAGATAAAAAAAAATCAATTATCTTGATGATCTTATTGTATAGTTGTGAATTTTGATAGATATGGAGTACATTGTGATCTAAAGGAAAGAAAACATAAACGTATGGTACAATTCTTGAGATTGACATGAAGAAGATAAAAAGAATTATGAATTCCAATTCTGGTGGAATGGAATCATGAATTCCAATTATGTTGGAATCTAAACTACAATTTGGTTTTGTTTTGACAGAAGTTGATGCTTGAAGAACGAACCGCAAATTTGAAAGTGATTCTAAGCATTCTCAGAGAATATTATTCTTACATGATTTGATTCATGACAGTTATTTTCGTTAAATGTATAATTTCATGGATGATCAAGGAAAGAGCTATTCTTCTGATAGAATAATCTACAATAGAATGATAGGAGTATATGTAATAATATATTCTGCTAGAATATTAAGGTTGAATAATATACATAATTTTATTTGTTATTAGTGAGTATTTCATTGTCATAGACTATTATATAAAGTTTTTACTTTTTTAAGAATGTAATGAAAAATTTGAAGTTGTATCCAAAAATGTGTTATTAGTCGGTGTTGGCATTCTCATAGAATATCATTCTAATAGAAATATGTATCCTGAAATTTGTAGAGAATCTGATTCTAACAGAATAAAATCGGGTTTAATTATAAAAATTACGTTATAATTAAAATTAAAGTAATTAAAAAAATTAGAATTTTAAAATCAAGAGTTAATTATCCCCAAAAATATGAAATTTTCCTTTTTTAAATTTATCGCAATTGTCTAAAATACCCTTAGAATGAAATTAGATGGTATTTTTCAATTATCTTTAATTTAATAATATATATTAAACACTTTCTTAAATTTAGTAAAATGATTGGCCCACATTTATGCATACAATAACACAATAATTAGTTTAAATAGAATAACCTATATATATATATATATATATATATATATATATATATATATATATATATATATATATATATATATGTAAAATGGTGGGAAAATAGTGACCGAAAATGAATGTATCTTACAGGTTTCCTGTTATTTGCTGAGTGGTATCTCTGTCATCAACATAATTGCTTCTTCTTTGAAGGTGCAAGCTTTCAGGTGGGTATTCACTTTTCTCTTTTCTCTATCATATCATCTTGTATTGTATTGCATGTTAAGTTACCGATTTGCCCTGTGCAGGTTCTGACAATTCTAGCAACCTCCTTCCATGCCCTGCAGGCTCTCAAAGTTCCTGCATTTAGGTTATTCTCTTAGAAAGGAAATTGTCAAAGGAGATTGTCAAAGGAGAATTTTGTCATGGGTTTCTTTTAATGTTGTACATGTTTTGTTTTCTATAATAAATATTATGTAGTATTAGCAATGTGTTACATTTACTTACTATTGGAATGATTATTTGTATTACATTTTAGTGCAATGAATTATCTTTATTGTTTATGGTATTTTATTTTGTATTATGAGACTTTTAATGTGTTATTTAATTTGAAAATTAGTAAATCTATCAAAAATATATAATTTTAAAAACATTTAAAATTATGACACGCAAAAATGTGTGTTGTATTCCTTTATGACAGGGGCTTCCTTGATACGCATTGCGTGTCATAAACACGCGCGTCGTAAGGTTATGACACGCAAATGCGTGTCGACTTTCTTTATGACAGGGCCTTCTTTGATACGCATTGCGTGTCATAACCGTGTGTCGTAAATGCGTGTCATAAATGCGCGTCGTAAATAGACGACGCGCAAAAGCGTGTCGTCTCTCGTTATGACAGGGCCTTCCTTGACACGCATTTGCGCGTCGTCTGAGCGTTTTACGACACGCATTGCGCGTCGTAAAAGGTTGTTTTTCTAGTAGTGGTAAGGTGAAGATAACGGGAACGGGTAATCGGGTTTAATGATTGTTGGAAATAATAAACTTATTTATTGTGGGTTGAAAACCCTATATGCTCACCAGGCTCCCCAGCCTAACTCACTCGGTTTCTTGTATTACAAGTAGTGGCAAAAGCATAGTTGGATGACTTGACGAGAGATTATGGATTTTATGCCGGTAGAAAATAAATGGAATACTGTAAGGCCTATGTTGTTTTGAGGCCAGATTGTGTTTTGTGGCCTATGATGTTTTGGTTTATGCTTATGATCTGTATCGATGACTGACATCCCGAGTTTTTGTAATGTAATGAAAATACATTTCTTTAAGAAATGCTTTGATAAATTTTTATCATATTTTGTTTTGGGAACAAATTTCGCAACACTTTTCTTAAGAAGTTACTCTGATTTTTATTAAAAAGCATAAACGAAATTGGTCTTTTATGGCCGTAAAAATGGGGATGTCACACGAAGCCTTCAAAATGGGTTTAAAGAAGGATTCTCCCTTCTACGAGGATCTCGTAATGACCCCATGCGGGAGATTGGACGAAGTCAGGAGCAAGGCATTGAGATTCATCAGACTCAAAGAAGACAAGGAGATCCAGAAAAGGAGCAACCCACCAAGATCCTATGATCACCCCAATAGGAATGCTGACTCCTCGGCCCAAAGATCCTATAAGTCAAAGCCTTACTCCAAATCCGACCATCACAGGGTTAATGCCCTTGAAGATGAGGGGGAGGAGGAAGATTTCCCTAAAATTACTTACTATTGTTTCTCTGTTGATGTTTTAGGTGTAATCTTTACCATGCAGGATCTTGGAGACAAAGCCAGATAGGCAAGGAAAGGAGAAAAATCCACCGCTTGGAAGGACAAGTGCAAATGGTGTGCATACCATGAGGACTTTGGTCACCTCACGGAGGATTGCATAGCTCTCAGAAAGGAAATCAGCTACCCTTTGGGCAAAGGATATCTCAAAGAGATCCTTGGGAGAAAAAAGGAAAAACCCAAAGAAAAAGACCAGGATCCTCAGAAGATCCTCGAAAGACCAGGATCCTCAGAAGATCCTCGAAAGATCAGGATCCCCCCTAGCTGACGCCAAGGTGATCAACATGATCTCTGGAGGATCTGAAATTTGTGGTACCTCCTACTCTGCGGCAAAAGGCATGCCAAGGTGTCCAAAGCGGAGAAGGAAAAAGGACCACGAAAACACACAACGATCACCAACCAAAAGGAGATCATCTTCGATGAAGCAGATAGACAGGACGTCTGGGATCCTCACCACGACGGACTAGTGATTACTCTCTACATTGCCAAGAACTTCATCAGAAGGATCCTCGTCGACGGAGGATCCTCAGTTAACATCATACAATTGGATGCATTAAAAAGGATAAACATCCCGGAGA